AATGAAAATCATGAAACATAAATATTGACCGCAATAATTGTCCTTCAATATCACACACTGTACCATTTGTGTTAAAACTACTTACCATATTTTTAAGCATATAAGACACACCTAATTATAAGGCAGACCCGTAAATAAAACACAGGGTTTGACGATTTGTGTAAAAATATTTTACATAAGACGCACCCATATATAAGATGCATCCTGGGTGCAGGATACATAAAAATTTATATAAGACGTGTCTTATATACGCGAGAATACGGTATGCTAAACAGTCAATGATTTTCAGACAAAATAATTACTAAAACTTAAAGTTTCTGAAAATATAATTATATCCAGTGGTCTCCACTTCAATGAAATTGGAGTAAAATGACACATTTATCTGCTTGGATACACACAAAACACAAAAAGGTAGTCCCAAGGATGCAAAAGAATTGTTGTAAAATGCATTACTTATATATTATTTGACATTAATCACTTGATGGATTGTGTTTAATTGTAAAGGTTAATTAAATTCCCTTGTTTGCTAGAATATACATAACTGTGTCAATGGACGATGGTCCAGATCAGAGACAAACCCATTGCTTGTGAATGTGAATATTAATGACCATTTAATGTGGAGAGTACAGTATTATTATTCTTATTATGTACAGAACCATAGTTAAAAGGACTTGTACTTAAATGCTGTTGCTGTATGGATTTTAATGGTGCTCTAATTATTATATATATTTTTTTTAGGTACTGAATGAAAATTTTCAGAATCAGCACCAAGGAGATAATGCACTAAAGAGATGTGAAGACTAGATGGTTTGATATATCCTGTGGTACATTTTGATGTCATAGAGAACTTTCCATTCATTCCCTGTTTACATGGTTTGTGTAGCTTCATAGTTGATATTTGCTTGAATCATCACTACATTCTGCCATCTTCACCACATATATTAAACCTGTGGGACTTCCCAACAGTACATCACTTCCAGAAATCCTTATATCACCAGAAGTATACAAATATTTCTGTAGCGTTTCACGTAAAACATTGATAATGCACACATTATCTTCATTTTCTTCTCTCCAAGTTAAAATATGCATTTTTAATGCACATTTCTGAATTATTTAGCAAAAAATGAACATTATGTTATATAATGTGTATTACACTCTAATATACATTTAAGGCTTTTTAAATTATCAGCACTTTAAAAAAAAAAAAATGCTAAGTCACTTTCGTACACAAGTAGCTTTGCCATGTTGTTATATGATAATCATATAGTCAGTCAATCAACCAATGAATTATACTGTTCATTCTCCCAATGAATCCATTTGTTTGCTAGCAATATTCATGCTCTGAGATTTATGTACACTATTCCAATTTGAATGGAATCTAGTAAAGAAAATTCTAGCTGTTTTGAATATATACAGACACTGCTTAATGCCATCAACATGTACACATGACTCCACCATAAATGTTTTATTTATTATTTCCTTACTTTATTTTAGGATTAATTTTTGGGGCACTGAATTAATACACATCATGATTTATGCAAAAATTACTACTTTGTGCTAATCTGAAATGGATTTATTATGGATATTCTGTTACTGATGCAGTGCTCTCGTGGTTCGGTTGTTCTTTCAGGGATTTTCCCGGGTTTTTCCTCACCTATCTTGTGCTGAAAAATGGTGTTAAACCCTATAACAACAATAACTGTTGCAGTGACATCAGATGGTGAGTACATGCATGCATATTTTATCTATAGTTTTTCTCTTATACATGTAATTACCATCACCAGTACTCCGCTTAAAACCAAAAATTAAATAACAAATATTAAATAATTATGTAATCACTGTATTTGAAACATTTCTCATTTAATATACATAGATGTTATTCATTCTCTACATGAATGTAACAAGACAAAGTAATCCACTTACAATTAAATGACAAACATGTGATTACCATATCTGTAAGATCTCTCATTGAATAATCACTGATTTAAGATGGTAATTGTACCATTGAAGCATGAACTTGGTATCTATGCTTATACCCAGTGCCACCCACCTACCACTTGTAAAACCTAGGGGATGTGCATGCCTAATTTCTTTTTTTACCAACTTTTTGAGCTCTAATGCAATATTTAATATCATATGATGGCCCTCTTTGGATTCCAGCCATCAAGCTATAGTGGGGTTTTACTGTAATTGTAATTCAAAGACTAATAATTTCTGTTGACTATTCTGACATAACATGCATGCATATTTTGCCCATTACTTACATGACTATCTTCCATGTTGACCTCAGTTTTCTGTTTAGTGTCTTATAGCCATTACTAGGTGTAAATAGTTCCTTCTTGGAACCATTAAAGAGAATGACATTTCTCTGATTCCTCTCTTCTGTACCCTGCAGAGAAAAGAAGTGCATGCAACAAGCTTAACACAGGAAAAATTTAACGCAAAGAAGATTTATCACATTTTCTCCATTCTTTCCTTTCCAAGCAATTAAATATTAGAGGAGACCAGTATATTTTGGTAAATAATTAAGTTGAAAAAAATAAGTATTCTAAAAATCAGCTTGTGAAGATTGTTCGGGTGTATGACAATACGATGAAAAATTTGAGGTTTGAATCATACCTGATTTCTCTGGGTCCATAAAGGAATGTTAAAGTAGTTATTGAAATCGGTGGGGGGGTAGTTACAAACAAACGAGGATGGAGCATCGGACTATAGTAATAAATAAGAGAATTGATGAACTGAAGGATATCTATACAGTATCTTCAAATTTTCTTACAATATGCTGAAAATGTGTCGGATTTTAATCACTACCACCTGCTCCATTAATACGTGTAGTAACCTTTTAGTACGTTGTTCACGAAGTATAAGTACTAATATTAGTACTACAGATGCTATAATACAGCTTCCTATCATGAATTGGCGTGCTTAGCTACCCGACAAATATGATTATTCTGCTTCTATAAAATAAAATGAAAACAAATGAATATTTAAAATTGGTCAGTCAATGTATTATCCTTTTTATACATAGGTAGAATGGAACTATTCAACCAACATATTAGCCCAAAATATACATTTTAATGCCATTTACCTCAGCTGTAGGCGCCATGCTAGACATTGACAAAACTATTTTGGCATTGAATTCTGGGAATATTTAACGGTCTGGAATGCACACCTTTCAAATCATTGTCAAAAGAATACGTATGATTTGTAAACCAGACGAAGCGAACTAAAGTACTAAGAAGAAATTAGTATCACTATTCTAAAATTTGTTCCGGAAGAAATGTATACAACGTCCTTGTGAAATCAACTTTTGATGTATATTTGTTTGTCTTGATAAATAGGTAATATTATCCTATTTAATCAACATATTAGGCCAAAATACACATTTTAATGGCATTTACCGCAGTTATAGGCGCCATGCTCGAAACTGACAAAACTATTTTGGCATTGAATTATGGGAATATTTAACGTACATTACGAGTTACGTTAATATTTATTTCTGAGCTGCAGGTCAGATATAAATGCATTTTTTGAATGGTTTACAATGCGATATTTAGGGAAATAATGCTTGCGAAGCTGTTGAAAATCTCTACCCTCAAAAACAAAGTGTAATTCCGTTTTAGTATCACTATTACAAATCAAAGACATTATTTCGTGAAATGGAGTGCGGTCCTATCTACTCATATTGGTCCTAACATTCAGATAACTGCCTCTAATCTTCCAAAATAACTAAGATACAGTCGGTGATATCTTGATCTGGTTCTCGGCCAATTGCTAACGTAATTCATTCTTAAGCTATACAATTAATTTTTTTGTTGCGTTTTCTGACTATATATCCCTATTTCACCTAGATCAAAATTGTTATCAGTAGATATTGTATTTAGTTTGTATTTTCGCGTTCAATGTCAAATTCATTTTTAAAGCCTGTCTCACTGTCAAATGCATTACTAAAACCTGTCTCACTGTGGGATGCATTACAAAAACCTCTATCACTGTCAAATGCATTACTAAATACTCTCTCAAAAGCCCTAGATTTCCGATCCACAAGATTGAACAGGCAGTAACTTAAATAGCACAATTTTTAAACATTACGTCAACTGATAATTTTCTAAACCTATTAGCAAATTGCCATAGACTGAGAATATCACTTTGGATGTTTCATAGAACATGACAATTTGGTAATGATACCAAACACCTCGTGAAGAGAATACAATCCCAAGATATTTATATATCAAGCCATTTTTAATTCGTGATTTCCAAAGCAACAGTTTTAGTGATTCCATATAGGCCTTTCTTTGTGAAAAAATAATAACATTTGTTTTTCCCAAATCAACCTATTAAAATCCAAATTCATCACAATAACATTTAAGTCCTTAAGCAATGCTGCATCACAATTTATGTTTCTGGAAATATAAGTAAATCTTAGGCTTTGTTATATATATTTAATTTGTATTGTGTGTTGTCTTTTCTCCATGATTATATGTTGTGTATATCTGTATTGTGTAATTGGTCTTGGTCAGTAATTGAGTTTAAGGCCTAATCAATTAATGCTTTGTTATTTTGTAAACAACATATGACATGGCTAATATCTGTCTATGATTTTAGATTGATTACTAAGATAATATTAAGTGGAAGTAAAAAGATGTTGAATTAAAGGTCTAAAGTCCTTTTTAAAGCAAACATTAAAAATGAAACTTGTTTGAAGAGACAATGACCATGTTCTTTTAAAATTAGTATATGTGCTGATGTGATGATGCGTGTGGTTCGGATTGGATTTTTAACGGGGCTTTAACAAGTTTTAAGTCATATCGCTACGATGTCTGCAGTTTGACCGTTTATAGTGATTTCTTGCACTGGGGCATCATGCCGCAGGCATGTTAGCATCATGTCCCACCCAGTCACATTATTCTGACACCAGGCCGATCATTCCTAACACTAACCTCTTAATGCTGAGCGCCAAGCGAGGCAGCTGTTAGTACTATTTTTTTAAATGTTTGGAATGACTCGGCCGGATATCGAACCCATGACCTCCCACATCCAAGGTGGACACTCAAACCACTAGGCCACCGGAGCGGTGATGCATTATCAATCTTTGATGTATCACAATAATATAACCTCAAAATGTTCTTGTCTGAATTCAATATAATTTTTTTTTCAAATTAATGTTTCTGTCCAAGAATATTATTGATGAATATTTCGATTAATAATGAATGAATAATTAAATCAAGATACTCAATGCATCTCTACATTTATGATATAACGTCAAGAATGAAAATTTCGCTTTCTTCTTTGCTTATGTACAAAGTTGTACGTTCTTTGAACGTAATTAAAGTCTCACAATGAATCCAATTTTTTCTAATTGATTCAGGTTCAGTCAAGAAGCTATTCTAGATTTAACCATTACAAAATTGGACAGTCTGACCATCCTATAATGTAAATATCCTCCTTGGATCACGTGATGTTGCTTTTTTGAACTTGAGACATTGTCCCTAAAATTTTTAATCTAATCGACTTACGCATTTATACTTGACTCTGTAAAAGTGCAAATCATTCACAAGATCTAAGAATTAAAAATGTAACTGACTAAATGGCTCTTACAAAAACCAGTATTATAAAACAATATACATACTATAGATATAACTCACTGCTGTGCTAAGCCAAGAGGTGGGGATCAAGGTTACGATAAGATCAAACAGCTCATATCAGTTGAATAGCTAAATAACTGCATCCATACTGATGTCAAGACCTACTTTCATGACCAAAAGTCAAAACTAAAAAATGCTACTCGTACAACTTATTCCTTGACTCACAAACTTTCAGTTGTAAATAAGTCTTCCCCTCAGTAGTGTTTCTTTAAAAAAAACAAACAAACAAACAAAACTATTTCAGTCTCATACAAGTACTTCCGGTTTTCAATCTGACACAAATTTCAAGAATCAAATTCTGATAAAACTGATCAGAAATCATGATCTCTTCCTATGTGCACTTATTGAAAGAAGAAATGGCCTTTTATTTGATTGCAGCATATTGAAAATAAAGCAATATAAAAAATACAGCTATTCCAAAATGCTCTTATTTTTAAGAGGTCATCGTCACGATTATATATTGAAAGAGATACAATTTTGGGTCGAACAAACCCAGTCTAGTTTTATTATGGAGAATTATCAACGAATCAAGTTCAAAGGTTCTGTATCACTTATTGGTGATCCTGCCAAGCCTATCTCTTAAAATATCAATTGACACATAAGCCTCTCGAAGTCATGTATTATTATGTATTTTGTCTTTTTAATCTGAGAAGTATTTTCTAGTAAAATTAATCTTATTTAGGGAGCACGATGCAGTTTGTTAATTTCTTCTCTATTGTCAGTCATCGGACTTAGTATCAGGAACCGTTTTAATCAGAACAATGAGTTCATTCACCCATTGTGGGTATGTGCTCTGCTGGTGCAGTTGATAGGGCTATTGCAAAAGAGCTTTTGAGAATTGTGTTGATTAGGAAATTATTAATTTCGCTGACACATTTTAATAAGCTGGCATATTTTATTAGTAGTGTATTGGGGCACTATTGCCTCATTGGAAATTCCAGTCAAAAAGGTCGTGGGCAACTTTAGCGTCAATCGAAATCCCAGTCAAAAAGATAGTGGGAAGCTTTAGTCTCAGTGAAAATCCCTGGGCAACAATAGCCTCAAGGGGAACTTAACATAGGGAATATTGTGAATAGAACATGTGGGCGACGTCACGGTACTGGACATTGGCAACAATGGCTGACCTCAGCAAACAGTGATAGCAGAGAAAAAAGCTATAACGCTTGGCGGGGCGGGACTAGATAGATGCAGAAATAAATAAAGAAACAAAGACAGAAACAAAACAAATACACACCAATAGGGCAAATTTTGAATAAATCTTTTCGAGGTTATGGATTGGCCCTGAAAATAAATTTATGCTTTCTTTAACTGTCTCTCCTCTCTTCTTCTACATCATTTCATTATCTTTCTCGTCACATCCTTATTTTTCTTCTTTTTTTCTCGTCACCTTTCTCCGTCTCCTCCTCCTTTTTCTTCCTCTTCTCATTTTCTCTTCCTTTACTATCTTGTCATGCTAATATCTCATTTGGATTCTATATTCTTCACCTATTACCAATAGTGTGTTAGCCACCTGTGCAAGGTAATCAGATTTTTAGAGTTTAGAATTTTTCCTATCTCACCTTTAGCAATAACTTAGTACAGTAGCGTGCATGTAATAATTCCCTAATTTAATTCAGTTTTCTTTGTCACAGTGACAAGAAAAATTGTCATTATTTTTGAAGTGTCAATATTAGGTGTATAGTAGTTATAAAATTTATTTGGAGGTGGCCAAACTGCCCAGCCAGCAAGAAGTACCCGCACACTAGTGACATGCCATCCAAGGGGATAGAGAGACCACCGTTGCAAGCGCACTAACATCCGCGACACAGGCGAGATTGAGACTCATATGGCTACAGTGTTCAACGTTGCAGGTTTCCGTCGTCAATGTTTTTGCAGATAGGAGTGTCGTTGTACGGCTACCGCCTTAAGCTGGTCATCGAGGTCGCCGTTTCTTTCGGGCGATTGTTTTAGATTTTTCTCACGCTTACAACCGGAAGAGCTGGATACAGTGCGATCAGAGATTTGTTGTGTATTTTTAATCGTCTAAGTTACCACATCGATAATGAGTCAAATATTGTCAAGTAACAAATCTTCGCGCTCAATTATGTCAAAAGTAACACCGGTCTCTAATGAAAACTCAGTATTTCTGTTATGATCGTCGCTTTCTTCTAATAAACGAAACACCAAAGCTCATTACCAGCAGCTTCTCCTATAGCAATATATATATATATATATATATATATATATATATATATATATATATATATATATATATATATATATATATATATATCAAGCCTGCTCATCCGAAAAACTAAATGCAGACACACCCGTAAAACGAAGGTAGCCAATTTATATATATATATATATATATATATATATATATATATATATATATATATATATATATATATATATATATATATATATATATATATATATATATATATTGCCTACAGGTGTTAAAAATGTGTTTAGCCACTGTACTAGTAGCAACAGTGTACAGTGTGTTGCTGGCTTCCTTTTGCGGGTGTGTTTGCATTGTAGTTTTTCGGATGAGCAGGCTTGTCGTTCGCAAATTTGTGCAGACCCTTTTCCATGTACCAAAATTATTGGAGATACCACGACAATATCTTTAAATGTGATACATCGTTGTCAAAGTTTCATTATTGGAGGCGGAAAAAAAAAAGACAAAACTATTTGGTAAATCACTGATTTAAATCTCGGGGTTTTTTAAAAATTATTTTAAATTTTTAAATTTGACAAGGATATTTTTTTTTCAGACTGCATAATCCTTATATCGAACTTAAAATATCAAATAAATGTATTTTAAACATAGTATTAGATATTTGATGTATATTTGATTACACATCTACACCAATGGACTGTGTCAAGCATTGTTAAGAAGGAATTTGTGTAAAATGCTTAAAGAATAATTCAAAAGAAATTTCAAGATACAGTTTTTACTGTTATACATTCTTGTTTGTCATCATTGAGAAAATAGACTTTATCATTATTTCTTCAACACTGAAGACTTCAAAGTTTCCAAACGTTTTAAAGGCACATTGCCCACTTGGAAGACTTACCAGAAAACGAAGATTATTATTATAACCAATAAGTAGTTCTATTTATATACATTTACTAATGTTTGCCTGCAGCAATACAACTTTAATATTTAAAGAGCATTTTCTAACGATTTATACGAGAATGTTTGTCGAGTTGATACCATATTTTTAATATATCATTATATCCTCACCATCTAACCAAATAGATTTTAAAATATGACCCCAACATGCATAACTACTAACTTATTTGTAAGAACATTCCCGTAACGATATGCTGGTGGAGAAGGTGGTAATTTGAAGGAAATTGACCGAAAGATCATTCATACCGATTTCTGTCTATTAAAGATGATATCATTCTCAAGTGCGTATTGTTCACATGTCTTTAATAATTTCATGAAATCGATCATAGAAGGACTAATCAATGACATCAGCAAAATTAAAATCGTTTTAAACATGACATATTTGGTGTAAAATATAAACCCACTTGACACTGACCCAGTTTGCAGTTTAACTTGTCTATGTATATATTAAATAACAAAGGAAAAAGAATCCCTCCATGCCTTACCCCATCGGTTGAATGGAAGGAGCTGGATACTACACTACCTAACGCATGTAAAAAAAAAAACTGCTTGCCATGCTTGTTACCCAAAACATTAATTTTGTAGACGGGTATTTGAATATCAAGCAACGTTTCAAAGAATATCTGTGTAATATGATTTGGCCTGAATGATTATATATTCTTATGTAATAAAGGTAAGATTCATATATTCTCATGTAATGAAAGTAAGATTCATAAAATCTCATGTAATGAAAGTCAGTCAATTGTATTCATTTGAAACACGCCATATGTTCCATGCATTCAATTGAAGCAACATAATCAGTTGAAACAAACATGATTAATTGTAATCAACATAACAATTTTACCAAACATGTGACTCCTGATTCACAGTCATTTGTACAGCACGTACGATTCATTATGCATAACTCATATAAATACTTCTAAAAACTTGCAAACGAAACACTCTGTACTGGTTCACGTTTTCATTGTCAAACAACGCAGTTTTCATGAATTGTTGGGTTAGCTCACACTTGTACTGGCCACACCCCCCTTTTCATGGATCCACCATGCGCGCGCACGCACTCAGAGAGAGAGAGAGAGAGAGAGAGAGAGAGAGAGAGAGAGAGAGAGAGAGAGAGAGCGCCAAAATAAACCAAACCGGTCATAATAATATCAAGTACTGAATATATATATATATATATATATATATATATATATATATATATATATATATATCTATATATATATATATATATATATATATATATATATATATATATATATATATATATATATATATATATATATATATACTGATATCTTAAT